TGTGTGTGTGTGTGTGTGTGTGTGTGTGTGTGTGTGTGTGTGTGTGTTGGAAAAAAAAGTCTCCCTATGTAGCCCAGGCTAGCCTCAAACTCACTATCCTATACTCAGGAATGATGGCCTCGCAAGGTCATTTTGACTTCAGAATCACCTGTAACACTGCTGGTCCTACTAGTCAGAAAGCCAGAGATTTCCACTCCCAAGACAGACAAGGGTCAGATACTCTGACCTCAGTGGCAGGAAACTCCGGACACCGGGCCTCTGGTTAAGAGATGTGCTTTGCTTTAAATGTTAAATTTTCCCTATAAACTGTATGTTTGAATGCTTGGTCCTCAGCTGGTGACACTGTTTTAGGGAGGCCATGGAGTCTTTGGGTTAGAGAGTTCACTGGTAGATAGGTCGCCAAGGGCAGGCCTTGAAGATATACCATCCTGGGTCCAGTTTGCCATCTCTACCTCCTGCTCCACCAAGATGAGAAAGATGTCACCTTGCATTGTGGACACCCTTGCCATCACAGACACTGGAGCTGTGACCCAGATTAAACTTCCTTTGCCTTAAGCTGCCCCTTAGATGAGGTACTTTTGTCACAAGGACTAGAAAAGCACCCGAAGGAAATCACATACTCAGGTGACTTCTTGTGAACCATCCCCTAATGAATAAAGGAGCCAATCACTGGGCAAATAGGTAGGACTTCCAGGTTGGATAGGGGAAGAGAGGAAGCAGGAGGGAGAGAAGGTCCTTTTCGGACGGGACACCGATAGGTAGGGTAAGACGTAGCTACTAGTGTCTTCAGGCTTATGGCAAATCCTGGCGGATTCGCCACCAGAGGATTTAGAATTAATATGGCTTACAAGATTACCATCGAGTTGTTGTGCCCAGAGATTGAGTTACCATTGTTTCTAAACTAAGTTTGTGTGGTTTTCTCGAGGTGACTCAACTGGATTCAAGAGAGAAAGGTACGGCAGCAAAGTGTGGGTTTGCCTGATGTGCCCCACAAAGGTCATGGGGGATTTGAAGCACGGGGCCGATCGATATCATGCATCATAATTTTATTAGGACAAAGCATAGGGATGGC